ACATACAGTGCATACCGACCGATAGGAAGTAGTCACTTTAAAAAGGTCTATTTTTGTGACGATTAGAAAGAACTATCTAATACTAAGAATCTATCGTGGTTAAAAGTTACAAAAGAACGGCATCCGTTTATTATAATTTTTTTACTTACATTTTCTATAATCTAAAAAAATTGTTATGATTGTCCAAACTTTTCTTTGATTCCAGTAGAAATGCGGCATTTATTTAAACATTTGGTTTATTTTTGCAATTTCACTTGGGCTTTACATGAATTTGTATGCACGGAATTTTTCTTTAGTTTTAAGACGACTTTTTGCTTCCTCACACGGTATAAACTCGCTAACTGCCAGCAAGTTAAAAGTTTCGTCTTAGTTTACCGGCTTCACTTTCAAACATCACTTTTTAAATGGCAGAACACGTCTATTGCTTTAAAAATATTTGATTATCTGCCAGCACGACATGTAGTTAAGCAATTCATTTCAGGTATAAGTGATGAGTAATAGAGCAATTTCCAATAATCCGTCTCACAAACTGTGTTACGTCACGTTCCAGCTAAATGCCATCAGCTTCAATGGCTCATCAACGTGACGAGATTAATAAAAAATTCCTATCAGCGAAAAATGGGATATCAAACTTATAAGGGTGAATTAAAATCACGCCCCGAGACATTCTCGTAAAGTTAGTAATTCGAATGTGACATCCCTTACGTGAACGTTGCGGTTGGTGATTTTTAAAAGCTGTAACGAATAAAACTGTTGGTTAGGTAATTTAAATTAGTCATATCATGCAAGGGGTTCATTTGTGATTTTCTCTCATCTTATTTATTTCGGCCGATGCAAAATAGAAATTCGAGTAGAAATTAGTTTAGAAATATTTAATTCTTGCACGGGCATGGGCCAAATTGTGTAATGTGAAAAGCTACACTGGTTAATATGAAAGTGATAAGTCATTCCTGATCACTTGTAGTGCATATTGTTGAACCGATTTAATTTTCAACCGTTGGCGTGGTTTCTTTACACTTTTACATGGTTTTCAGATTTGGTTATAGCTTTATTTTCAAGTTATAATTTTACAAAAATAGTATATTAAGATACAAGTGTATAATCAAGTCTTTAAAGCACGCGCAACGAGTTTAAGGGCACGACGCAAAGCGGAGTGCCTTTAACATTGCAAGTGCTTTAAAGACCAATTATACACGTGTATCTTATAGTATTTTTTATTATACCTGCAGTATAATTTAAAAATAGGAAATACAATGAAGTCATATTGACGTTATACTCGAATACATGTCTTAATTAAGTGGGCTGGGTTTTCGTAATTTCACGATTGCCATGGAAATGTCACTTGACGTTTGCTTATAAAAATCATCGTCTTTGTGAATTAAACGATTTCCGTTGAAAAAGATAATACACCGTCCATTAAATCGATTGTTGTAAAATGTAAACAAACGTTGGTAGGTGTAAAATCAAACTCCAGTAAAGCCTATTATAAAGAATATGAAAAGTTGTTTCCATGGATGAATAGGAAGTTACTTACGAATACAGTCTTAAATGCATCCATAATGCTGGCATATATGAAGGAAATGTCAAAGGTTTTTAAATCTTCTATATTTTGGTGCATTCATTCAAAACTTTAAAACAATGCTGCGATAAAAAAGTGGAACAGATTTGGAAGCATACCCTAAATTACGCGCGTTTGTGAAAGCTTCAACCAAAGGATAGGTACAAAAGCCAAAGAAATGTTCTGCATTTACAGAAAGCGACCTAACAGGATTTTTTATTTCATCCAGATGACAGTTTCAAAAGTCATACTTGAAGTATCGTTACTTAGCAACTTTAAAGCACGTGTGTTTTAAAGGCCCTTTTTCGCACGCATTTGAGTGTTTAAAACGGAGATTGTGATTCAGGTATAATAAAATAGTTATTTATGCAATGAGTGTATAAATGAGGCGTTTTATTGGTGAGTGAGATGTTTAGTCCACGAGCGCAGCGAGTGGACTAAATTCGAACGAACCAATAATCGCCGATTTATACATGAATTGCATACAACGTTTTTTCGTCGACTTCACTGGGGTAGGTAATTTTAAATTCAACTACAAGAAATTACAAACGAAATTATGAGCGACGATTTTTCACTACCTAAATTACAGCTATTGTCGTTTCTATAGTAATGTGTTGTTTTATGCTGTACCGTCAGTCCTCGTAATCGCAGTGGAAGATTATGTATTGCTTGCTCTGCTGCGGAGACGATTTTAACATTATATCCACTCAAATCAAAAGAAACCAAACCCCAGGCTCCGTGGTTATCTGATAACACGAAATACTTAATGCGTCTAAGGGACAAAGCTTACTGTAAATTCAAGCAAACCAAATCTCCACAGCAGTGGGAATACTATAAAGCGCTTCGTAATCTCACCAACAAAACTGTAAAGTTGGAAAAAAAAGCGTTTGTTGAATTTAAACTTAGAGGAAATGACCCTAAAGTCTTGTGGAGAGAGCTTAAAAAATTAAAAGTTGTTGCCAATAAGAAGAAATTAATTCCTCCGCATCTTCAACGGGCTGATGAGATAAATGATTACTTTGTTGATAGTATTCCCATTGTTGCTGGCGATCAGTTTAATATTGACGACTATTGTGTTTCTTCATCTCAAATTGTGGCCAATTTTGAATTTTCCGTTATCGATGTAGGTACCTACGATTGCCAAGATTATCAATAGTATTAAAACGAAAAGTGCTGGTTGGGATGGACTAAACGTTGACATTATTAAACTATTTTGTCCTAACATTTTGCCGTATGTGGCTCATATAATTAATTATTGCTTACTTACTAACACATTTCTAACCCTTTGGAAGAAGGCAATAGTAATTCCTATCATCAAAGGAGCTAAAGCAGATAAATTCAGCGACTTACGCCCAATCAGTCTACTGCCCGTACTGTCAAAAGTTTTCGAAAAGATAGTGGACGGCCAACTACGTTGTTACTTGACCCAGAATAACATTCTCCCTGACAATCAATCAGGGTTTCGGCCTGGTTATAGCTGCACCACTGCACTACTAAATGTTACGGATGATTTACTGAAAGCTAAGGATGAGAACAAGATGTCCATATTGCTACTCTTGGATTTCAGTAGAGCATTCGATACAATTAATCACCAAACTGCAATTTCCATCTTACGTGCTACAGGTCTTTCTCCTAATGCTACCTCATTACTTCATAGCTACCTAACGGGCAGGTCACAGTGCGTTACTTTAATGGGTAAGTCATCTGGGTACAGGGAACTATCTAGGGGTGTGCCGCAAGGGTATATTCTTGGCCCCTTATTGTTCACTATATATACTTTGTTTTATACATCAGTTCCTAAGACGTGTCTAGTTCACATGTATGCAGACGACATGCAGTTGTACCACTCCTTTAAAAGTGAACATTTACACGAAGCGCTAAATCTGATTCAAAGTGACCTTAAGGCTATTGAAAGGGCTTCATTGGAGCACTCGCTGGTTCTCAATCCTCTAAAATCGGCAGTCATGTTGTTTGGTAACAAGCAGAAAGTCACCGACTTGAAACATTTGGTAAAATTCAGAATTGGCGACAAAGCTGTTGCACTAAAGGAGGAAGCAAAAAATTTAGGAATAATGATAGACAATTCGTTTAGATACAACAAATTACTCACTAGCTACATCCAGAGAGCATATGCAAATTTAAAATGTATCTTTCCCCATAGGCACTACTTGCCCCAAACTTTAAAAGCTCAACTCTGTAACGCGCTGGTACTAAGCCACTTTAATTACTGTTCGCAAGTCTACGGTCCGTGCATCACTCAGGATATGTCTGCAAGAATACAGCGAGTACAAAACTCCTGTATTAGACTAGTATTTGGTCTTAGGAAGTTTGATCGAGTATCTTCCAAATTAAAAGAATTACGCTGGTTCAGCATGAGGGATAGGCGACTGCTTACTGCGGCGTGTCTGTATGTATCATAAAATTATCTGGAACAAATCTCCTCCATATTTATACCGCAAAATATCTTTTAGAACCGATGTTCACAACTTAAATTTACGGTTTAGAGGTGGGATTACTCCACCCTCTCATCACACCGAAATGTACAAGAGATCTTTTAGTTATAATATTTTTAAAGTATATTCCTCTGTTCCAGATTTGATTAAGCCCCTTTCTCCGCAGTATTTCAAAATTAAATTGCGTCAAATATTAGCCCATGACTCTGTACGTACGTTGTAGATTGTCATTCATATCTATCTTGTTTAACTTGTCTCTTTGTCCGCTTTTCTTAGTATATTACTCAATCTCTTTTCATCTCACTCTCATTTAGTTACTCCTATGTGCATTTATTACTATTTCATATTTTCCTTTTTATTATATTACTCAGTTATAAGCATTACTTGATTATGTTAATTCTAATTGTATTCAGGGAGTCGGTGGAAGATCAGAACCTGCCTGTGCAGCAACTGACCCGATAACCCCTGTGGTTTCCATTTCTTTAATTTGGTGGAAATAAACACATTATTATTATTATTAATTTTATTTACTAAAGTAAAAAAATGATACACAAGCAAAAGGGTTAGCAAATCTCGCAACTTAAAATAAATGTTCGAAATTACGACTTTCCTGTTGGTGGAATACCTGAGTACTCGCTGGTTTTTTTAAGTATCACTGAAATGTTGTAGTTTCGGCTATCCCGAGCTACAATTAAATTAATAATATAGGTACTTCTGTTGTGTAAACTACGACGTTTTATTTGCTTTCAGCACCTACAGTAATGTTAGGTCACCCTGTATGTGTAGAATTTCAATTAATTTTAATGTTAAATGGCTCACTAATTGAGATTGAACACAAATCTCGATCATATCACGTGAATTTGAAGGCATTGTTGATTCTCTGTAGAAT